AGTAAGCGAAAGTCATAAGTTACAATCTTCATTGGAAATTCGATTTTCCAATTTTGTATTTATATATCGTTAAATCTTATGGCAAATCATTAGAAAAGTTTTTGTATAGACTGCTGGGAGGAAAAGAAAAAAAGAATTAACTTTGTATACTTTTATACTTTTAGATATAATGAAATTTCTCGGTTATTTTGTACTTTTATATTATATCAATATTCTTTAAATTTTAAAGAAACCAGTTGAAAGCGACCAATTTTAAGCGTATTGAAACTGTCAAAATCAAGACCTCTAAATTAAGCTTTTGTTAACGAAATAATTTAAAAATTTCGATGAATGTCTATGATCTATTTGGTTCAGCAGAAATTTTACTTTATATTTACTTTTTTTTTGTTTGTCTTATTTTTTATTATATTATTACTTACTTTAAAAAACCACAGTTTTTGAGAAAAGTGGCCAATCTATAAAAAATGATATAAAAAATATATGACAAAATTAATGTTTTGAAACGAAAAAAATAGTAATATTTCAAAAATTAATTTTGAGAAAAAGATGTGAAATATAATAAATGGAAATGATCAACTAAACCTATGAAATTAACAAAATAAATATAACTGTACAATAATAAAAACCATTTTTATAATTTGAATCTAAGAAAATGTAATTCTGCACAAAAAACTAAATAAATGCCTAAGTTATAGGCCCAATTATAATGACCTCAACAATTTCTCCCTTGTCGATACACGATTTTTGTGCGGTTTTCGAAGGTAACTTAATGAGCGCATTGGCAGATCGAGCTGACAAAATTCTAGAGCTCATGGTACATGAATGTTGGTCGATGCTAGAAACTTCAGGCAGTTCGCCTGATGCGGTGAACGTAGTTATAAGTCGTGCTAGACGGTACTCTGGACGAGGGTCTAACTGTATCGCAGATTTTGTCTAAAAAGAAGCTAAAATTGCTATGTCGATTAAATTTCAAATGTAAAGATTTTTTTTACCAAAACAAGACTAATAAAATAGGAAATTAGCAAATCTTTTTTTT